TTGTCCTGGTTGGCATATTTGGTCAGAGACCTCAAAACAGGATTGTGGATGGATGACAAGTTGTGTCTTAGTCCACCACCCCTATTTATTGAGTGTAGGTGGAGGTGGACTGATGACTCCGGTCCACGGGAGTTGGCCCTCCGGTGTTGGGCCATGCGTTGGTGAAGCGGCTGCTTAGTTTCACCAATGTACAAGTCGTTACACTCCTGGTTAGAGGACAACGTTGGCCTTTAAAGGACTGAAACACCACCGAGGGGGATAAATATCTCTAGCTCAACACCAGTCAATCAAAACTGATGAAGCCTCTTGGATGAGAGGTGAAACGTATTCGACCTAGAAGCTTACAACTGGTACACTCTTGAAAATTTTAAAGGACACAAGCTAATGAGGGGACACAGTCAGGGTCTGGCAACTTCAATTCTGCTGCTGGAGCTCTGACAAAATTGCCTAAACTATAACTAGTGTACAAGTAAAGAAAGCCTGGTTTAAAATTTTAATCAGGTTCCTGTGATCAGATTACTTCAAAATGGCCATGTTAAACTGCTCTGAATTCAAATTACAAACATCGTGCGTAATGTTAATTTTTTGTCTACTAACATGCACGACCCTGAGCAATCAGTTTCATCTTCAAGTATTTCTTACATACTGCAAGTAAACATCATGAATCAAAATGAGGTTTTGTAAAACACACCAACATCAATCAGTGACAATAAATGTCAGTACCAACACTTTAAAAATGTTTGAAATAAGCTGCAGAGATCTCCACACACACCGCCAGACTTTCCTGCAGCCCCATCCCTCCCTCCAGTTGTCCTCTGGGGCCCCCTTTCTTTAACTCCTCTCTGCTTTCATGCACACACAAAAGTCCATCAGGCTACAAACGTCATACCTGTGTGATCAACACCAAAACATTAGCAGTCTTTTAAATGAACACTTAAAGACTTGGTACAAAAAAAATCACAGCATTGCATCATTAAATATCAACTTTGGACCACTGTATTCTTTCTGTAAGGTATTGCTGGCTCAGGTTTATTTGTGCTAGTGTGCGCATAAAATGCACAAACCTATAGTCTACTCCAACACTGCCCTGTGGTATTAGTTGTGAGGAAGCCCATTTCTTATTTACAGTTTAGTATCAAAGGCCAGTGAGGACAGATGTGTGGCCAGACAGGATCCGGAGATCATACAGGCGAGTTTACAACATATGTGGGGGCATGTGGCTACGGACACAGACAAGAAGTACCACCTAGTCTGAGTAATACATCCATGAGTTCAAAGACTTGTCTGAAGCCAAACACTGCAAGGTGGATTAAGATACTGTATTGGACTGGCCAGTTCAGCACCACTGACACCGTGCTGAGAAAACGTTGAGCTGAGTTCAACGTTTTGTTTGCTTGTTCTCTGCTGTGCCAGTAGAGAGGCGTCCTTGTGTGTCTATTGTTCTCAAAGTGTTTTCCTGAACACAGCCTTAAGAATGTTCACATCAAAAAGTTAACATAATAAATCAGACTGTCACACCATTCATGTTGCTCCTACCACTGTACAGCTCACATGGTTGCACAGCTGACCCATGTAAAAAGTCTGCACCGCATTACCATGGATCAATGCCAATTAAGCAAATTAAGAAAAGCTCACTGTGACAGATTACTTAAAATGTACGTTTCCATCCACTACTGTTTAATGAATATCAGGAGGCTTAGCTAATTTTTCACTTGGGCGCTATTAAATAGCAGAAGAGGGTATAACAAGATTACATATTCAAAACACGGCTAGTCAAACTTCAAAGAATGAAAAGAAAAAAAAAAAGAAAACATGTAGGAAATATAGTGTTTGCTTTATGACCTAATTTGAATAAAGTTACATCATCATCCCCTCGGATCTGCTTTGTTCTACTGCTATGTTTTTAGCTCATCAGTGAACATTTAAGTCACATGATTCATGTGCATCATAGTTAAGTTGCCAAGTCTGTTTCTACTACACTTCTCCTGCTCAGCCAAACGGCTGAATTATAAAAACACTGATGTTGTGCTTTAAGTATTGTATTTTTAGTCACTCTGAAGTGATGGAGGGTGAGAATAAAGCTAGAAAAGGATAAACCACCATCAGCCAACACCCATTATGATGTTTAGCACTAAAACGCCGTAATGCTCAGAAAGTTCCTCTATTTAATAAAGAGCCACTTTCTGTCTGCAGTAGTTACTGTATGCTTCTTTTATTTAACACTCCCTTCTATGGTGTTTGTCAAGACTGCTGAGTACACTTCCTGTCCAGAGGAAGTGTTTTACAGCTAACAGACATGGACCTTTAGAAGGCTACTTCGGAAGAGGATAGGGCTAAATGAGACCCTGAGTTCTGTGTTCTGAACATCATGGTAGCAAACTAGATCATCAGAGTGAGGCAAACTGCTGGGGCAGCAGGGTCTGGCTGAGGCTGGGCTGAGGGCTTGCACAGCCACTGCTGGTGACGCTTGATCCAGGACTGGGAGAAAGAGACTGGCTGGAAACTGAAGCGACCTCTCTGTCTGAGCCGTCGTCATCGTCACCATGATGGGACCGGTGCTGATAGCTGACCAGAACCCTGGAAAACAAGGCGGGAGAGGGCAGAAAATGAATTTGCTGTAGAGTGTGCTTGCTACAGTAATAACATAACAGTTTTAGAAAATATGGATCTCAGCAACTGACAGCATCGTGTTAAAAACAAAGAGGAGAACAGTTCACAGACAGTCCACTGTCATGGTCACATGTTTGTGTGAGAGCGAGAAATAGAGCGGGGAACGAAGGATGATCCATGTCTAGCAATTAAATTAACCGCGTAGATTGCAAGGCTTTTGGTGTCTGTACTTTGTCCCTTGGCACCGTCTGTTCACTCATTTTTAACTTTGCTAATGTATTTTTAGCCAGCTATGCTAGTTTAACTTGTGGTGCCTGACCTGTTTTTTTTATGTGGAGTGTGTTTGTGTGTGTGCGTGTACCTGGATTTGGATGGGCTGACGAGGCCTTTTCGGTCAGGTTCCAACTTGGAGATGAAGCTACACTTGGACCACTACACAGACACAACCATAAAAGGAAACAAAGTGGTTCAACGTTCAACATGGCTTGAATTTCAAGCTACTGATTTTCAAAGCACATTAATTCCACCCTTTCTGAGTTTCTTACTATGTGAGCAGGGTTACTGGTTCCCAGATGGATTCCTTCCTGACACAGAGATCTCAGCAGACTGATACCTGCACAGAGAAACCATAAAATCTGGGTTAACCCACCCAGCAGTTCCAGTGGTCGCTCACTAGATTAGATCTCTACAGAAGATGTATCACTCCATAAACAAACTGAGATGAGAAGTTTCTTCAAATGCTGTCACATTAATTAATCTGGTCCTGTGATCCATTAATGAGCAGCTCCATGTCTTTGTGTTTGTTCCTCCTAAAGATGTGATTTGTGTCATTTGTTGCAGTGATGTTTTCAAAGAAATCCTGGTTTAAGCTTCAAAAGAACCAAAAAAAAAAAACTATTCATCTGCTTCAGAATTCAGTGGTTATCATAACCTCTTATGAGTCATATTCACTGTTTGAGTAACAATTACATTTCCATATGTTCAATATAATGTGGGCTAAAAATGACAAACCCTTTAACTTGTTAACAGTCAGGAGTGACAGATGGCAAAAAAGATAACTGACACAGACTGTTGCTTCAGTTGCTCAGTCAGCATCAATAACTCATCTTCAGCTGCCATTTGTATTAATTTCCACTTCTCGTGGCAGCAGCACCTTACAATACATATTACATTAGTGCACAAACGATTTTAGAAGTCCCCTTCAGCGCACTCCTAAAGTAAATACAAACAATATCAGTCTCATGACAGTTGCCACAAATAATAAATCAAAACTAGAGAGAGGAGTATCATTGTTGTGAAAATGGAATGCATTTGTAAAACACACATACATACCCTGTGTCCTATTGTTCCAGTATTTCTGCTCCCACTGGTCCAACAGGATGTTGGGGTATCGCGGACACTCGAAAAAGCGAAGGTAGCGGGACGATGACGGTGATGGAAAAACTCGCTCAAACTCCCCTCGACGATTCATCTCATCCTCGCTCTCTGCTAGCACACGAACATCCTCCGGAGTCAGAACATCCAACACCGTAGACAGGAAGTCCTGATGGAAACGGAATCAAAGACACAAGGTCGTAACTGGTGATTTTGCTTTGTTTTATTGCTAATAATAAAACCAGTACCTGTACTGGTAGAGAGTGGAGTCCTTTGTGTCGTTGTTGGTAGAGTTTTAATATTTATTTTATCTTTTCATTTAGGTTTAAATGCATGAGGTTCATGATTGCAGCATCTTAACATAGGTTGCATCTCTGTCTCAAGCTGTCCTGAGTCTGTACCTAGTGAAATATGATCAGAGGCTTACATCTGACCTCAGGGTGTGAAATACAATGCACATGCTGCAAGGACTGTTTTGAACATGCCTTCTTGACATGCTGCAGATAAACGGGTTTTGCAAACTCACTATGAGTCAGTAGTCAAGTTATTCTCAGCTAAATAAAGGGTGCTTTTTATACCTTACTGACCTCTGACTGAGTGTACATTTCTCTGCCTCATCGTTTCCTTGGACTGATTTGTTAGTTACCTGGTCAGCATAACGCTGTGTGAGGTAAAAGGCCCGTTTGACTTTCTCATCAGCAGACAGATCTGGCATGCTCCTCTCCCTGTTCCCTCCACACAGACAGAGGGGGCGATTCAGTCATTCCTGATGATGTACTCTTGAGTTACATTGCAAAGATGGCTACTTTCATTTCAGTTACCAGACCGCTATGGTGTCAGCTGCTGAGGTGTAGTACTTTCTCCTTACCTGCCGGTGAAGCTGGAGGTGTTGCTGCAAGCGGCGACCACATCTTCCCTTTGAGGAATATGAAAGCCAGCCAGGTTCAGTAGGTCTCTGACCATCTGACCTTTGATGGAAACATCCAGCGCTGTGTTGGAATGGAGGCTGGACCAGAGACACAGAAGAGTGTTATAAAAACCCAGTATGTTCTACACTTGTGTGTGTTTTTGTGAGTTTGTTACCTGGGTGATATGTTGACCTCCAGGATCCAGGGTTTGAGGTTCTCATCCAGCATGATGTCAAAGCCGAACAGCTCATGGCAGCTGTAAGGTGCCCGAACATAGATATTCAGCAGGTTGTTGACATGTGGTTCTGACCTGAAGACACAGGAGGGAGAAAAGCTCATTTCATTGTCATTGTTACTTCATCATTTCAAAATGACTTTTCTTCATACGCTGCTTCAGGTCCACTATTTCAGACTTGACTGAGATTCACTTCTTCTACTTTCTCCTTTACAACCAGGATAAAATATAAGAATTCATCTGAGATTTGTTAGTGCAAAAACAGAATGAAGAATGAATGAATGAACCTAAACTTAACTGTTTTAAAGTGTTTTTCCAGAATGACCACACTGACAGAAACATTTTATTTGGACAAAGGAGAATTTGTGGAGTTAGCTGGGATGTTACTGGATGCTCTGCTGTGAGCTCACTTCATATTTAGACTAAGGAGAAGATGGACTACAGCATATTGGATAAAATACATGAAGTGGTCAAAAGGACGCTCACCAAAAATGTACTTATGATACTTAATGGTGCAGTCAACGTCAGAATTGGCTTTAGTGGCCACGTGTACAGTGGCTCTCAATGTGCATGCTCTTCTGTAAAAAGGTGAATAGACAAGTAAACAATAGCCTTTGTATAGACTTCAAAAATTATGTTTTTGGACATTTAAATGTCTGTCAAGCCACTGTAATTACATTTAGGTAAATGATTTATAACAGGACATCTGTCAGCCAAAGCAAATATCTTATAGTTAATGAAAATACTCTACCCACTATGGTTAACAGTGGGAGTCAGTTATTCAGGCTATACAATATTTAGAAGAATTTTAAAAACAATGTATAAACAAACTAGGTAAGTCTGCCTTTGATATGAAACAGTGAGAAAAAATAAAATAAAAGTAACCAAAAAGTCACCTTAATAGGTTATGATAAATAATGAACTAGAACTACAGCTTCGTGAAGGTTATGCCTCCACCACCCAGTCTAAATCACAGCAATGTGACAGATGTGGACGACTGAAACTCACGCAATGATGGTTTTGATGACAATGTCTTTAATCTTCTCCCATATCAGAGTGGTGTTAACTCCCTTCAAACCAAGATACTGCCACAAGGCCTTCAATGCCCTAAAAACACAAACACACATTTTGACAGAGCTGCCAACTCCATGCACTCAGAGGACAGACAGAAGATTTGAGTTTAACTTTGACAAACATTTTTGGGACGTGGAGCTGCTCTGAAGGCTGTGAAGCCTGTGGGTGTAGCCAAATAAACTTTTACTGTTTCTAGGGTTGCCCCCAAACAATCGAATAGTCGAGTCAATAGATCTGTCAGTTGAACAAGACTCTTCTATTCGAGCCTTTGTATTTATTATACGTTATTTTTTGTTAGTCACTGTGCATTACAATAGAAGGCAGCCCCAGCTGGTAGTCTGTCATCTTCTTCTCCTCCTCATTATGGTGTGCCAAGTAGCAACCTGCTTAATACTTCCTCCTGTGGTCAAGGGGGAATACCCACTTCAACTGTAACACTGTCCGATACACGGATGTACATTAAGGTTGGATCTATTTAGCAAACTCCAGAACGAGGAGAAAAGGACAACAGAACCCACTAGGACAAGACACAAAGGTGAGATTTGCAGTTCATCAGAAGCGTTTTCAAACATTGTGGTCTGTTTTACAAGAGAAAAGACTGTCGCAGTGATGTAGCTGGTTTGGCCTTATGTTATGTGAGTCTGATATGTTTTGTTCATCTCCATTAAAGTGCAACACACAGCTGTTTACTGACTGTTTGGGACATGCATCCATCTGAATGGGACTTGGAAGCTTTCCTTTTCCTCTCCTTCCTTCAAATTTCAACATCTGCTCATAAAAGGTGATGATGTCAGCCTGAGCCCTTCGCTCCTGTCACACATATACACATTATCATGCTATTTCCTTCCACTCCTCTATTTTATCTGACACTATTTTGTTTGCTACTTTCACCTTCCCTCAGTCCGAAACTCAAGGATGAACCTGTTTCCTTTCACCATTACCATTTGTGTCCCTGGCAGGCCTTGTCGTTGCTGTTACTCTGGTATTCAGAGTTCTTCTTGTTGATGCTATAGTTGGTCAAGTGCATGAACTTGTTACTTAGTGTCTTCATGGAAGACGAATACCTAGAGAGAAAAACAGAAATGTGTTACGTAAACTTGGATCGGTTACATTCCATTTTACTGTATTTGAATGGTTCCAGTTGTCTCTGCTTTAGAGAAAACTAACTTGCAGCTTGCGAATCGAACCAGTCCATCAGAGAAGACGTAAATTCTGAGTGGGTCATAGGACGTTACATGGACGTAGATCCGCAGGTCAAACTTGTTACCACTGATGAGGTAGGGCTTGTGAAGGTATCTGCAAAACACAAGCAGGCTAAAATTGGTTTGTCCCAATGACTAATGAGCACTGTGATGTCTGCCCCTGGATAATGGTTTCAGGACTACTAAATCCTAACCCAGTAACAGTCTACTCACTTCTGGACCAGCAGTGGTCTCTTATGGGGCATCTGGCTCCATCGGTGGATGACTTGGATTCCTATTCCTCTGGCTGATGCAGGCTGTTAGAGATGAGAGGAGAAAAAAGATGATTAAAACAAACAAACTAGTAAATAAACTGATCTAAATGTTCCCATTTTAATCTATTGTTTCTCTTTTGAGACTAATGTGTCTTCATAGCTTTGTTTTAGATGAAAGTAACCTGACAAAATGATTAACTACTAGCAGAACATACTGGTTTGACAATCCATTTCTGCCTGGAGCCACCTTCTTCCCAGGCCTTGCGAAGCAGCTTGATGTCCTGCGGAAGGATGAAGGTCCGGGGGAAAAAGTTGAACTCTCGTTTTCCAAAGTGAACCTGCATTTTTGACAGGTTCCTCCACAGCCGGTCCTTCCTACCAATCTGAAATGTTCCTGGGAAATGGTTCAGCTGAAACAAAATGAACCAAAGCACAGTGAAGTTCAGTCTAACTCTGGACAGATCGTAAAGAACCTTCGTTAATGTTAAGGCTTCCTGAAAGCACAAGCTGGGGTGATTAGCGTGTCTCTAGTTTCTCACCTTCTGGTGCTCTCTGAGGGCCTTAAAGCCAAGAGACTTCATGTGGTGTCCCCAGCAGCCCAGCCAGTCATGGCTTTCTGCAATAAACAGATTCTGATCATCCAGGACAATCATCACAGTTAAATCTTACATGTTTATTTACAGTACAGGATGTGCATGTTACACTTACTATCCAAGTATCTAGTGGTGGCAAACTACAAGTACCAGAAGTATTTTTTGTCCAAAATTATTGGTCGAGAACAAATATAACCACAATTCATTTAGAGTGAAATCAGTCACTGTGTGAGACACTGACTACAGACACTGTTCCGTGATCATGAATTCCAAAAAATCAAAATGATTAACACCAAAATCATTTGTATAATACGACCTTCAAATGTTCATAACTCAAAAAACCCTGATGACTACGTAGCTCAAAAATCTTAAAAAATGAATCTACAAGACATAGTTTTAAGTTTGGTAGCTCTAATTTAGGTCACGTCACCGGTGACTGATTTACCTGTTTCTGAATTATTTGTAGCAAAAGATATTTTTGTAACACTAACCTACAGATGATGACTTACTCTGGGTGACTCTGAAGTGTGACCTGGCAATGGTGTGTTTGACAACATTAGGAGTGACGGTGCTCATCTTCCATTTTAACAGCCGTCTTTGTTCTGCAGGCAGAAGCTCCACTGCAGAGCACACAACAAAGAGGTTGCATGTGCAGGCATAATATGGATACAGATAAATGCAGTTAAAAGCCTTTAGTAAAGATGTAACAGTATAACCTAAGTAAATGATTTAGTAAATTAATACATATAATCACACTTTTAAACTGACTTAGAGTTTGTTAAACACAATCTATGAAACTTTGTTTTTCACTTTATCAAAGAGAAATCAGCACTTAACTCAAGTTTTCAGTCAAACCACATCCATTGTGCCAGTGCTGAAACATTCCACCCCGACGTGCCTGCATGACTACTGCCCTGTAGCACTCACTGCTGGTCCTGACACACCTGATGACCCGTCTCCCACCCACACGGGACCCCCACCAATTTGCCTACCACAGGAATAGGAGCACAGAGGATGCAGTCTACATAGCACTGCACTGCTCAGACATCTGGACAACAACACTAGAATGCTGTTTGTGGACTTCAGCTCAGCATTTAACACGGTCATCCCCTCCAAATTAACCACTAAACTTGGTGACCTGGGCATCAGCACCTCCCTCTGCAACTGGATTTTGGACTTTCTGACCAACAGGCCTCAGCATGTTAGGTCAGACAACACC